GGGGGGGTCAAACTGTCAAAACCCCTTTGATACAATGTAAATCATCATGAGAATATATTACTTTCCAAAAGGCTCAGCTAATATTTTGCACTCATGTGAATGTATTTCGAAACTATAAATATAAAAAGGTTGTTACTTGTTCAATTTTTTCTGCAGTTCTATATAAATAGCTAATCATTTCCATGTGCAGGTACTCGAACACAACTTCGTCTGCCATATTTATTCCATAATCTAATTTTCGAGACGGATTTTAGATATTTTTATCCGGAATTTTTGTTTTTTATTTCGGCAAAGGATTAAGTATTGATCAATGAGGCTCTAAAATATAAAACAAAACATTAGTAATCTGACTTCCTCTTAGATATCAATTGATTCATCTGAAAATTATTTTGTTGTTAAGCATAAACAAGGAGAAATAAATAAGGCGAAACCATTTTATGTTCCGGATGTTATCACCAGACTACCTTTTTCCGTTTATTAATTATCTAAAATGGCCGATGTGCGTGGAGTCTCGGCGTTGCAAGACGAGTTGGAGAAAGCGAAAGAGAGCTTGAAAGATGTAGACGATAATATTAAGAAACTAACAGGAAGGGACCCAACAGAACCAAGGTTTAAATTTGAACTTAATAAGTATAAATAATTTTGTTTTAGGGGAAAACTCGTTATCGTGGGGTGGGTTTTTCGGAAGGGGGGGGGGGGTTACATCTTGGAAATTGTCATGTTGGTATACTGTACCTTTAAGTATACGCAGTGCATTAAAATTTTAGTTTTGTATGCGTAACTTTTATTTCACTTGGATCTTTTGATGCCTCCTTGTTGAATTATATAGCCAACAACCTGGACTGGAAGCAACATATCAACCAGATGACCACAAAGGCCAACGGATTACTATCCTTCCTGAGGCGCCACCTTGGAAAATGCAAACAAGAAGTGAGAGAGGAGGCCTAATCCGACCAAATCTTCAATATGGAGCTTCAGTCTGGGATCCACATAAGAAATACCAACAGGAGTCAATAGAAAGAGTCCAGTGGCGAGCAGCTCTATTTACAACCGGCCGTGATTACTCGCGTTACAGTAGTGTAACCGGGATGTTGAACAAGCTACACTGGCCACCCCTACAGCAGAGACAGAAGGAAAGTCGACTAACCAATCTCTACAAAGGCATCCACAACACCAACGCACTGATCATACCACCATATATCAGTAGTAACACTAGAAGTGGAAGGAGACAACATAACCACGGCTATATCAACATACAATGCAACACCGACACCTACTAATACAGACCTTTCCAAACACCATCATGGAATGGACTACCATCAGAGGTCGTCGAGCAGCTGACTGTGGAGGCATTCAAGACCTCGCTCCACAGTCATCTTGCAGAGTGAATGTGGATCCTGTAAATAGTTTTTTAACCGGTTTTTAAAGAACTTATGAGGAAGCCACGCCACACAAGTCTACCCGCAAGTTGATGCTGTTCGACGGCCCTTTGCAGTATAGCCGTTAATGTGAATTACGATTCTTCATATTCTTCATGTGCCCTTTCACTTGTCATGATCAAAGACTTATTTTCCTTTTTATTGCGTGTCTCTGTCTACTATTAGTGTTGTACAGTATACACAATAGATCAACATGTGTGCTACAATGCTTTCCTCCCGCTTCTTCCATGTCTTAGTCATGGAAATGTCCCCTTTAAAAGGAATGTGTATCAGAGTGGTAAGGATTGGAGCTAAATGCAATTCAGTATATATCAATTCAGTTATCATTGTCATAGTCGGCAAGCATGTACAAGACGAGTCTTGTTCAAAACTCATCCCGCTCAAGATGCATTGCACTTTGAACACTTCAGTAGTGCAGAGATTGCAGCAGAAGAAACTAAATGGCTTTGAGCTGAAGTGATTGTCTAACATGGGGGAAAATGCAACAGGCCAGACCAAGGATTTGAATTTGGAACTTTCAGATTCTGCATCAATACTTGGTCAATTTTATTTAGGTTTTAAATTGAGATAGTAAGATTCTCCATGAAAATCTCAAAAAAGTTGGCAAGTATGGTCCTGTACCCATGGAATTTGGATTTGACCCATAGCATTTATGAAAATACTGAAGTTAAACATGGTGGGACCCATACTAGGACAATACAAACTAATTGTAGAATGATCACTGATATAGTGTTGCCCATATCTGTATATATATCTGGCTGTCTTGCAGTAATTTGATCCCGATCCAGTCTAAATCCCATATTTTTATATTCTTGTGCAAGAATTTTCACCCAAGTTCAAATTCTTGCTTGAAATGATACATTTAAAGTAATTTGCAACGTGCAAGAAACTTAATCAGAATAATTTTTGTATTGACAAACTATTTTATACTTTTTGCAACATCTAGCATATACTCTTGAATCTTTCTCTGCCTTCATCTTTTGTGTTAAAATTTCCATATCAAAATGTTTATAGGGGTTAAGTAACATGTTTATGCTAGATTGAAAAACAATTTGACATCATAGTCACCATTAACTGAAATAAAAAATATCTGAATAATAGACAGTGCAATGATGTCATATCTGTAGTGCCTTCATTTGTGATTGGATTTCCATGAAACCTAATACAGAGGTTAATATAATACAAGAATAGCTTTGAAAAATTGTCATATCAGCATTTTGCAACCAAGGTCAAGGTCATCACAACTTTAAATAGGTCACTACTTGTTTCAATTTGGCAGTACTTTCCTCATGACTAAGCAAAAATGACCACACCCTATGCATACATGTATATTGACAGAAAACTACTTGTGCTATGTAATTACCCCTTCCCTTTATTCTTATCATCACTCAACAAAATTCAGACTGATTTCCATTGCATCTAAGTAATATAGCCCAATTGCAAGTTTAGTCTCTTTTGGCTCCAACTCAAGACTTGAGACATTTTGGTGTTTGGGCAAAAGGAAACTTAATTAATCAATTACAATTTAAGATATTGGGGTATTATTATTTCCGATGAAATGCTTATTAGATATGGGTGTGGTTTGTGCTCTGCAACAAATATAACAACAACCCAAAAGTGACCGTACAAAAAGCTGTTTCCAATTTGAAATTGCAAGATGCTTAAGTTATCAAATTAGGATTAATAAACTATAAATTCATTAAATAACAGCATATACTTACAAACTTTTTGAAATTTTCATGTGGGATGTTATGCTTGCACAGAATTAAAAACATGAATAAAAGGTGTGTATATACCCCAAGGAGAAAATATCACTTTTGAATGACATCTTCTTAGCTGTTCTTTCAGATGGAATCCTAATATCTTAGAAAATAGGAATATGTTAGCAAATTCATTCATTAAAGATGCTCAATTTTCGGGTCCAAAATCGTGAGTCTTCCTCCGAAACTTGGAGAGTTGGCAAGTACTGTATGTGACAGACACACATTTCACGCTAAAACTATATACATGTACTAGGAAGGAGGATTGATCCAACCATGGTTTTGGTAGTGATCCCTGATATTGCCAGCACACTAGCACCTTCCTTGTGGCAGGATTTGATTTTGATGAAACTAATTTTACATGACAGAGCAATGGGATCTAAGTTTTAATAGATATTCTTTGTTTCAAACTTTTCAACCCCAAAGTACATCTAGAAGATCCTTAATATAACACCTCATAATCATGAAATAATATGCGACAAAATCTGAGTGCTCTTAGACAAAGACTCTACTAAAATCGTCTAGAGCAATGTTAGCCCATCTAGTCCACATCCAGCACAATTGAGCAATCATGAAATGAAAGGTAGTCTGTACATTTGATATGAGTTGATTATGTATTATATTGTGCATATATTGATCCCTATCTGACTACCTGTATTGTAATTTTATATATTTGTTTTTTTTTATTCTAGGCCCTCAACAAGGCGTGTAACAGCTGTTCCTGATGGCAGGGGTAGGGAGCGCTTGCTTCTACAGGCCAGGTATGTAGTTGTATAAGTACACACTTTCAATCACATATCATCAATGCATGAATATATTTATGAAATAAACTCCTTTTAAGTAACTTTGTTAGATGTGAGCTTTAGTGTTTAAAAGAACAGCTAGCTACTGCTGTCAGAGAAACTTCTAGCTAATTGCTTGTTTTACTTCTAGAGTCTGACCTTAGCAGAGTCTTGAAATGATAGGGTACATTTATCTTGTGTCAGCAGTTGAGAAATGCTCTTGAGGAGTCTTTAAAAATTAACTGAAATAAAAATAAGCGATTGGTCAGGTAACGGGTGAACAGCATAGGTGGTCCGTGGTGCAGTGGATAAGTACACTCACCTTTCACCCAGACGACCAGGGTTTGATTCCCCGATCAAATGTGAAAAGGTTTTTGGTCACCTGTCTGACCACACAGGTTTTCTCACCTGTCTGACCACACAGGTTTTCTCTGGATACTCAGGTTTTCTCCCTCTGTACACTTCTATCTGGGACAACAAAAGTGTTTAATAAAAGTTTATTATTATAGGAAGCTAGTGAGGAAAAACGAAAAGAAATTGACATTTTTGGCTGCTTTTCACTCCAAATAAACATTCAAATATCAGATAATTAGAGTGTATCATATGGCCATTGCTATATTCTAGTGTTTGTCAACCCGAGACCCATATCTCAGGCCCATGAGCTGATGGGTTGAGAGTCAGTATGGTGTAGGCTGAAGAAATGGCTATAGTTATAACCTTTGTCATATACTATGCCTAGTCACAATTGTTATTAGTTGCATCAAAATTATTGACAATAACGCAGTAAAAACACATGGTTGCCTGCTAAGTAGAATGAATATGGCCAAGACAAGATAGATGTATGGTCAAAGTATGCTCTAAGCAAAACAGCAACATCACATGCAAGTATCTGATATTTTTCTTTTTCGTCTCATTCAAAAGCTTTTCTATGTTTTCCAAATTTCAGGTGGGGCCCAGATGAGGATGTCCAAGCCAAGAGAAGAGTCACTGGAGGCGCTTTCTCTAGGTAATCACCGGAGGAACAGCACCTTCTATTTTGAGATTATGTGGGATGGAGGCAATAACTTCATTTGCAATGAAAAAGTTGAACATATATGATTTCTTTTGTGTCCTGTACATGTTTTTAGGTCACCTGAGACAAAGTCTCAAGTGACCTATTGTGATCGACTTTTGTCCGTCGTGCGTCCGTAAACAATTTACATTTTCGACTTCTTCTCCAAAACCCCTGAACCAATTTCAATGAAATTTTGCAGGGACCTTCCATGGACAAAGGTCAACAAAA